CCTCTCCTTCTTCTCAGTTTCCACCTCTCCCTCCTCTTCAGTTTCCACCCTCGCCTCCTCTTCAGTTTACACCCCTGCCTCCTCTTCAGCTTCCACCTCTCCTCCTCTTCAGTTTCCACCCTCTCCTCTTCTTCAGTTTCCACCCCTCGCCTCCTCTTCAGTTTCCACCTCGCCTCCCTCTTCAGTTTCCACCTCGCCTCCTCTTCAGCTTCCCTCCACCCTCTCCTCCTCTTCAGTTTCCACCCCGCCTCCTCTTCAGTTTCCACCCTCGCCTCCTCTTCGTTTCCACCTCCGCCTCCTCTTCTCAGTTTCCACCCCTCAGCCTCCCTCTTCAGTTTCCACCCCTCCCTCTTCTTCAGTTTCCACCCTCTCCCTTCTCTTCAGTTTCCACCCTCGCCTCCCTCTTCAGTTGCCACCCTCGCCTCCTCTTCAGTTGCCACCGCCTCCTTTCAGTTGCCACCTCAGCTCTCCTCTCTTCTTCAGTTTCCACCCTCGCCTCCTCTTCAGTTTCCACCCTCGCCTCCTCTTCAGTTTCCACCCTCGCCTCCTCTTCAGTTTCCACCCTCTCCTCTTCTATCTCCACCTTCTCTTCATTCACCATCCCTCTCATCAATCTCTACCCCTTCCTTCTCTTCTATCCCCACCCTTTCCTCTTCTTCTTCTTCAACAACTTCCTCCTCCCCAATAATCTTACACATACCGAGAAAAAATTGCCCGTCCTGAAGTTGAGAAAATTTGCTCTTGTTAATGATTTGACGAACCAGAGGACGAGGTACACAGGTGATAGTTATTTGGACCAGCACTGAGCAGATCGGGATGTTGTGTACAGGTAGAGCCCACCGAAGTTACGTCTATTAGCAGCCGTCTCTTATTCTGAATATGTGTAGTATAGTTAATAGCCCGAATTATGTATATATAGTCTCTATCATTTTCTTTTCTCTCCTCTGTCTGTTTTCTCTCTCGTGCATTAAGAAGACGTATCTTGTTAAGGGAGTCTTGGTGTGTTTCAGCTTAGGTCGACCAGTTAGCCACATTTCTACATCTTCACTTACAAGGAAACCAGTTGAAGTGCAGTCTCGGGGTAATGTTGAATCCATTTTTGGACATTGTTTTTCACCACCTGTCATATTTGTTACCCTTTACCGCTCATTGCCTAGAAATTACCGAAAGTGTTTTGTAATGAATTTATTGGAAATGTTGAGTGTGATTGTGTGTATGACAATGATGGGCGGCCACATGTGTTAAGAATACCGATGCAGTACATCTTTTAATCTTACATTATTATTTATTTCCTGAAACTTGGTATCATTGTTTCTAGTGTTGGGTTGTTTACATAACCAGATGTTGTATTTTTTTAGTCTCTTCAGTCTCAGTGACAGAATATAGGCCTAGCTGAAGAATCTCTTGAACTCTTAACAAAATCGTTATAATATACAGTACCTGCATTCACAAAGAATGGGTTATAAAGGATTTAATATTACGTTAAGTCATCGCTTGTCATCTTCCTCAGATATGACCAGGCCTGAATTCTGTGTTAATTTGATCTGATAATGCATATAACTAGCATACTTAAGCAATGACATGAAAATAGATTATCAAATGTTTAAATTCCAACCTTTCCCTTTAGTTGAAGATATGAGGAACAGCAAAGTGACATATTTTAGTCATAAAATATCAGGATTTCTATAAACCAGGAATGGACAATTTCTATACAGAATACAGTACATACTGTTGAATATGTGAAGCCAAAACCGATAGACTAATTTGCGGAGCTCTGCATTGTGTTTACTTATAGCTGTAATCGCCAGGCAAGAGATGAAGGTGGCAGTGCATGCGATGGGGGGTGAAGGAGGGGTTTCAACAATTGCAATTAAATGCCAGGTAGCGACGTGTCCTGATATTACTTATTAAGTAATTATTAGATGGTTTAATTGCCTGTATGTTGGCCTGGCGAGTTATTGCTAGGCATTAACATACTTAAGTTAATAGCTAAGCGTCGCATTCTGGATCATGTCACAAAAACTGGTTTTTAGGAAAAAACGGCCTTTCTAATGGGGATTAGCCCACCCTGGCACAGGTCAATGGGTTCCATGACAAAACATCAATGGACAAAACCCCAACGGGGTTGTCATTTGTCAACACTAACCTAACCTAAACTAAACAAAAGTGTTTTATTTTATATATGAGACGGGTTTTGTCCGTTAGGTTTTATTCGGTCACCGGTCAATGACCCACATCAGGGCCAAGGAGGCGAAGATATATAATAATAATAATAATAATAATAATAAATAATATAGAACCATAAACAAATGCAAAATAAAAAGAAAATCAATGGTGAGAAACGATAGATATAGTAAGTTGTGTTGTCAAATTAAGAGAAACAATTGAGACCCTGCAATTGTGTAAATGAGGAGAAGTCAGATCAGCCACCTGGGACTTGGTCACAATTTTTCGGATGCCATATGGCAGCAGGGTTTACCATTAGACAAAACATTATGCTTCCAATATCTTCCCAGGCGGTAGTACCACTTGATATTAATTATCATATCACCACTTAGTATCTTACTAACCGTTGGTCTATTCTTTGTTGTTTTGTTATTTCTCTTTTTAAGATAAATCGGACTGTCATGTAGTCCTGGCTCCAGTTTCTGTGCTGTACTGTACTGTTTAATTATGTCCCCTAACTGGTGTTCCTTGAACATTACTTTAATTTTGATGTTGTGTTGGACTGTGTTTTTGTGGGGTAACTTGAGTGAGAAAAGTGCATCCTGACAAGTTAGGAGGAGATATTAATATGCTAGACATTAACATAATTCAGTACGTAGTAATAATAATGACCATGGTGATAATAGTGACTAAGACAAAATAAAGACGTTGGTCCCACTGGCTGGGTTGCGGTGGTAAAGGTGGTGGGCAACAGATTAGTTAATAACAGATAAAGACATGGCTGCAATCGTGCATGTTTCTCCGCCATTGATTATAAGGTGGCCAAAGCCTGGAAGACAGATGGTTGGGGATCATGGTAACCGTGTATCGTATGTTAAATTTTCCCGATAAATATTGATGGGGGTTTCACATTGGCATTTATTTATGTTAAAAGCATCTCACAATTTTTGAACATGCTTATAATATTAATTCAATGGCACACAAGTGCTTTATAAAATGCCCATAGTCAATCATAAATGTTTGATATGCTCAGATGTGGGAGGAAAATTTATTGTATGGATGAAATCTTTGTTTTGTTACCACCTTCATTTCCTGCCAAAACCATACCGACATACCCTGTTTTATGAGTGAGATCAAGAATTAAAAAAAAAAAAATCTACACTGTAGTGTGGATCTGGCAGGTAAAACTCAGTACTGTACAATAAACGTTACTTGCTTGCAATATGTTAAAACTTTTCTTGATGCCATTGAGTGAATCCATCAGGCAAGCAGTGAGTGAATGAGTTGGTGAATCAGTCAATGAGTAGCTCATAATGAACATTAAAATGGATAAATAAATAACAACAGGTTTTCTCTAATGCATTCAGTCTCCTCTTCACCATTATTCTCTTCTTCCCCAGTACCCCATTTGTTTCGTAAGCTCTCATTAAACTCTCGGCCACCCTGTACCTGTAAATGGCTGCCATCAACCATCATCTGGTAATTTTTCTATTTGGGTAATTGCTTTGGGTTGTCTCGGTCTTTCGTGCTCTCCCGCCATTAATGTTGGACCATTCAAATTTATTTATACTGTACTGTAGTTTTGGCCATCCTTAATGTTTGCTGCATGGGGTAAAGTGGCTCGCCACCTGGCCTAAAACTTTCTACCTGCTCAAACTTTGCTGATTTGCCCGGCACATACTGCTGCGCAAACATTTCAGTTTGTTCTCAGATTTTGGAAAAGCATCTTCACCACAGAGCTGTAACTTATTTATGCTTTGGCATGTGCATTGAAGAAAAAGGGAAAGAAAACAAAGTTGAAAAGAAAAACGTTTAATCAATTTTTTTTTTGCAGAATCCAATTTTCTCATGTAAATTCATTAGCAGAAATACAACAGGAGGCTAACTGAGCAGTTGGTTCTGAATTAGCCGACACATGTTCACTTTTGTTTGCACAAACAAAGTTTTTGCTCACATCTTTTCTGGCAGCTCTTCATTATGCACAAGCAGGCTTTACTCTACAAGCAACATACGTTCAGTTTTATTTGTGCAGAGAAGTCTTGGCAAAAGTTAGAACGTGTGTAGAAGGCTTGAGGGTCATTGATTCTTTTTAATTTTATCTTCTTCGCCACCGCCGCTTATTAGCCATTGATCAGTCAGTTACATCTCTGTTACGCATGGTTGCAGTACAGTACTTGTTCCAGGATGTATCTGTACCTGCACCAAGGAAAATCCATCAAATGGGTATTACTTGGTTCATACCCAGTAAACTCCGGAAAGACGCTGCCACCGCCCCTCCTGCACTAGACATAGCCCTCCACACATGCAATATCTGTGAACGACCATGCCGGTCCCGTATCGGCCTCTCTAGTCTTCTTAGAGCTCACCAACGAAGGTGACATCCTTTATAGCTCGTATCATTTTATCATAGCTGGATGATCGTCATACTCGATTCGAAGTGACAGCAAAGTAGTAGGAGTTGTGTGTGTGTGCAATGCGGTATAAGATTTTCTTTGTGCCATATTAAATCCATTGACAAACTTTGCATGATAAAATTTATACAAGATTTGTATATTGTACAGTGTACAGTACAGTACGGTGTAAAGTTTTATTCATATACAGTACCTGTAAAATCCTTTTTGAACAATTTGTATTTGGTTCATTAAGTTCCACTTGACAAATTTTAAATGATTTTATTTATATAAGACCCACTTTAGTTTAATCGATTGTGAACTTGTTGCTATTTAAACCCAAATGACATTCACTATCTGTAATTAAGAACTTGAAGCATAGTGCTGATTTTTTTTTTACCAACGTATTTTACAGTTCAGTAATATAGTTTTTGTTCTTTACAGGTGTACCGTGTGCCTGAGACTGCCACAGTCCTGCTGAGGTGAGAAAGTGGTGAAATTGTAATACCTTGTACAGTACTTAATCTTATCTAAACTAGTGACACTTATCCTTCCTTGCTCTATTCTTTTATTGTATTCTATCCAGTAAAATAATTTCACTTCTGAATGCTGGGTTTTGAACCCAATCGTGGTGGTCTGGGTTCGAAACCAGTTCCTATCACTCTCGTGGCTTAGTCACGGAGGAGTAAAGCCCCACTGTTGGCGTGTGTGTGTACTTCCAAGTTGACATCTACTGTAAGTTTGGACACTGTTTGTTATATAACAGGAGCAACATATTGATGTTTCTTTTGAGCACAATTATTCTCTTTTCAGTGGAGGCATCAAGTTTGGTGATCTGTCAGATAGATGGTGAGTAAGTTTACAGTCACACTCCTTCCTCTCTATGATTATCTGTCTTGAAAGTCAATATTAGAACCCATTTTATCATAGTTTACATTTATATGAGACAGTTCAAAAGGCTATTTTGTACTTTGTAAAAGGACAGTTAAATAATACTCTGTATATTTGTTTGACATGGAAGTTTTAAGAGCGCTATTGAGACATTTCTCTGTAATACTACACACAAGAGTAAAGGTCATCTGTAACTAAGGTACAATATACATGTGAAGGGGTTACTGATATACTGTATATATATACAGTATATATATATATATATATATATATTATATATATATATATATATATATATATATATATATATATATATATATATATATATATATATATATATATATTATATATATATATATATATATATATATATTTTATATATATATATATATATATATATATATATATATATATATATATTTTTTTTTAAGCCCTTCACTTGTGGTTGTCATTAAAGATTTGCCTTATTTGTCTGAGCCCAGTTAGTTGTTTTAACTCAATTATCCCCATATATGAGCAAAGGAATGTCACAAAATTCTATACACTTCCATAGCAAGACACAAAGAAAATGTTTGTATATTACAGAGACCAAAGGTGAAGGTGATGAGATGGTTTAAAGTCTTACACTTTACCTAGATGGGGCATTTGTTGGTTTTACAAATATTGTTCAGGTTTTATGGCAGAAATCTTCAAAGTACAAAACGACTGCTCTTTTATTTTATATTTTAACTTTAATTTTATTAATTAGATAGATTGCTGTTCTTCTAATAATATACTATTTGCTTGCAGCTGTTGTCTTTCAAGAGAACCTCCTCAGATCAATGATGCAGATTGAGAACACTTTTTTCAGTCTGGCAGAAACATGCAGGAAAAACTGTCTGGTTATCTGTGATCGTGGCACCATGGATGCTTCAGCATGTAAGTACCCAATACATGCACCAAACTTTTCTTTATTTTTCTGCTTTTAGGGAGAATGTGTAGTTAACATATTACTGTACAATAGTATCTCACATATTAGTGTACAGTATAGTCTTGATTTACGCGGTCAATTGAACCCGTGGAGGTCCGCACAAAACGAGAAATGCGTAAACAAAATAACAGAACATATGGGATTAATTGAAATAAAGACTGGGCCGACTCCCAAACTCCACTTTTTCCGACACAATGCCACCTTGTAGTAAAAATAACATCATAATTTTATGATGGTATTGACACACACATCATATCTAAATAAAAAACTACACTACTGTACAAATATAAAGGTGTTTGACACTTACGTTAGTAGAAGAGATGGTCGGCACACGGGATGGAGGCTGGTTCCGAGGCAGAGGGTAGATTAGTGGCCCTCCGGTAATCACTGTCACTATTCACAGAGGTTTGCAGGGCCTCCCTGACAAACCCCTCAAAGTCCATATCCTCACTGTCACTATCACTGACTTGGGCTGGCTGTGGTTGTGGGCGAAGAAGTCCGTAATACTACGTTGACGACTAGCATTGATGTTGTCGTCGTACATCTGGAGATACGGCCCCATAAATTTTGACAGAAGGTTATTAGACACTTCATACCGATGCGTGACTGTCTTTGTCAAGGATGAGCTTGATTTTCTCTGCCAACTCGATGACTTCCTTCACATAACCATGGCTTGGTCCAGGTAGTTCAATGTTTCTCAGGGTGGTGGGGTCCAGCGGAAGCCTTTGTGAGGGGAATAGCAGGCACAAGAGAGAACAGTATACGCGGAGACCGAGAACAATGAGACTGGCCCGGCTAGGTCAGCGACTTCTTCCCTCTGGTGGCAGGGCACGTCATGTTACTTTAGACCAGAGGTCGGGGAACGGGTAAATTACCCCAAATGGGGTAAATCTAAAAAATTTGGGGGTAATGCATGCAGTATGAGAGACACTTCCATCAGAGCCTCAGTTTACTCGAGTTTACTCCGCATTGTTAAAAAAATTTTCCTTGGCATGGTGAGTAGCGTCACTAAAGTTTCTAGAAGATGCGTCAGATATCGTTTGTTTCCATCTCATGGTGTAATTATGCAAAATTACCCTTCAAATCGAGTGTAAACACATCTATCTGGATCTACTCTAGCAGCTCTGGCAGTTAATTTCTGTTGATTTCTGAAAAGCGGCTTGTATTTCGGGATGAACCGTAAGTTTTAGTGAACAAGATGTAAAAACCATGTATCTGAAATAAAGTCATTGATTTTCGAAGATTACTGTAAGAGTGGTACAAAATGCTCCTGAAACATCAGGTAAAAGATGATCGTATGTCATTATGTGTGACCTTGAAGAATGAAATAATTTTCTCAATCATTCCTTCAGTTCCTGTCATGAATTTCACAATATTCAGACATTTTTTTATAATACTTTATTATAACAGCTATATAAAACTAGTGATTTATCTTCCCAGAATTAATTATCTTGTATATATAAAATCAGGAAACTATTTTAAAATGATTATTTCCAGTATAATCCAAACAAATTTTAGCTGCGTGTATATGGTAAGTTACCCTTTAACTATTTTTACGATGGGGAACAATTATAAATTAGGAGTCGGTAATGAAATTCTCATGATATTAAGAAAATAAAACTAAATAAATAACAATTACATCCCAGAAAACTGGGATTCAAAAGTGGGGAAATTTACGCACGATTCTGACATTCTTTTTCATAAGTGATAGGAAGTGGACCTGTTCGCGTTATAATTATATGTTTTCTGCTTTATTCAGTCTATATCACGAAAATGAGTACACTAGTACAGTATAATACTACGAAACATAAGTCAAACGAAATATTGACAGGTGTGTACACACGTCTAATTTTTTTTTTTTTTTCAGATGGCATCAGTGAGGAAAGGACATGCCAGGCAGAGTTCCTCAATTATGGCTTCACAAAATTGAGAACAAAAGGAAAAATGAAGCCACAATGTATGCGTCTGTTTGAAAGTGCTGACTACAAAATCTTTTAAATCCTTTAGAAGAAACACTTGGACAATTTGCACTCATCTGTCTTCCAAACCAGAATACTTTGAGAATTTGGAAAAGAGCTGTCAAAGGCAGAGATTGATAGCAACAAAGAGAGCAACATTTGATCAGCGTTCAGCATCAAAAGCTAACTGAAGTGGCCTGGTTGATTGCTCGAAACAAGCCACATACTATTGGCGAAGAAATAGTCAAACCTGCAGCTGTGAGAATGGCAGAAATCATGTGTGGGCAGAAAAAGAAGCCATGCAAATGGGTTCAGTGCCTTTTAATCTGCAAGAGTTGTGAAAGAAATTTCCACCTTAGCAGAAAATGTGAAGAAGTGATTTCTTCAATAAAGAGACCAAGATTTTGCTATTCAACTTGATGAGACTACTGATGTCAGTAGCAATTAGCAGCTGATGGTATATGCTCGATACAGGGGTTCTGATGAAATTGAAGAAGAAATGTTATGTTGTCCTCTTGAGTTGAGATCTCGTGGAATTGATGTCTTCAACAAGGATGATGCACACTTCAAAAAACCAAATGTTGATTTGAAGTGGGAAGATTACTTATTGCTGTGTCTGTTGATGGAGCTCCAGCCATGTTGGGTCATGTCAGTGGCTGTGGCTTTGGCCAAGAGCAGAATCCAAAATTGAGGTTTCCCTGTGATACATGCATGAGCATTGGTTGTGAAGCAGTTGGAACCAGAACTGGAAGCTGTCATAGATGATGTGATCAAGATTGTCGAAGAAATGCTGTGAAAGGGCATGCACTAAACAATGACTGTTTCGTGATTTATGTGTGAGGATGGGGAGGCTGAATATTCAGGCCTCCTTTTTCACCTGAATGTGCTTTCACGTGAAATGTCCTGAATAGAGTGGGCTCTCCGCGACTAGACTTGAAATGTTTCTGGTTGATCAAAAACATGCCCTTGCAGATAAGTTCAGAAGCTCCATGGCTTACACTTCTCGCATATTTAGCTGACATTTTTGGGCATGTGAATGCATTGAACAAGGTACAGGAAAAAGCGCAGATGTCCTAAACATGAAAAAAAACGGCATTTGAATCAGCTTCTGTACTGGAACCAGAAAGTGAATAAAAAACAAGATAGCTGCCTTTCCAAAGCTAGTAGAGTTTTTGGAAGATTGTGAATATTTCGGTCTTGGTGAATCAAGGAGTCAGTTACAAGGCACACTGACCAAACTCAAACAGCAGTTCTCTGATTACTTTCCAGAGCTTGAGTTACAGACTGTCAGTTGGGTTGTGAATCCCTTTAACTGGCAACATGAGTGTGCCTGAAGTTAGCAGAAGTGCTTCTTGAACTTGGCTCCAACAGTAAACACGCATGGAATTTCAGAACAAGACAGGTCTCGTCTTTTGGATGTCAAAAGCTGCAAAGGCTTTTAAAACTGCACATTTGGAAGCGACAAAAATGCTGCTGCCTTTTGCAACAACCTACCTTTGTGAACAAGAATTTTTCTGCCCTTGTAAACTTGAAAACAAAGTATAGAAATAGGTTGGACCATGAAGACAGCATCCAAGATGCTTTGACATCAAAAATCCCTGATTTTGTTATGCTGTTGTATCAACAATGAAACAGCATCATTTTCCAAAACCTAAAGTGGAGATGATTTGAATGAAATTCTTCAGTTCTCCAATCCTTTTTACTAATTTTGTCTGTGCTATTCTTATGCCAGAATGTGTGGCCTTTTTTATTTCTCCATGATAATGGATGTAAACTTTTTTTTAATTTGAATTTTTTGAATATATATACCATATCCAACAATTTTAGGAGCAAATTGGCTTGTTTTTACATTTATTGTACTAGTGTACTTTGAAGTCTGGGAATAATTTCATTTTATTCAAAAAAAATTTTGGGTAATACCCCAAAAAGTTCCCCGACCCTTGCTTTAGACCAATCACAGCTAGCGGTGGAGGGAGGTAAGGATGCGTGGCCCAATCACAGTCCAATACGTCATGTGACGTCAGCGATAACGTAAGAGCGACCTATCGCGCACCCTCCAGGCGCCAGAAATGATGGAATGAACCTCAGAATCTTATCATTCTGGCAAGGTGCCGCGCGAAACCAAATCCGCGTAAATCGAGACTACAGTTTAGTCTGCATTTACGCGGGTTTTTGTTTACACTTTTGGTCATTTACCTTGCCAGAATGAAATGTTTTAATTATGCGGTAAATTTCATCATTTACGCCATGTGAAGTATAATTTATTTATTTACTGAAGATATTTGTTTTAGCTAATAAAATTCAAACAAATTACCCAGCCAGAATATTATTTGCATTGCTGGAATTAGTATAAGATTGTGATTATTTTAAATATAAACATCATAAAATTTGCATTAGACATACACATTTTAGATCTAATTTAAGAATTGTATTAGAAAGAGCAAAAATTTTATCTTTTGTGCAAAATATATGAAGTTTATATTCAAAATATTCCATGTCTTGCAAGGAATCCAGCAATGTCAATTATATTATCCTAACTTTAGTTTAAGGGATTATTTATTACTAAAAATATAAGGATACTGTTTTTCCCCAAACATTTCTCAGAGGGAGGAGCCAGTAAGTGGAAGAGGGGAGTCGAGTCCATTATTTGAATGACATTAACTGCCACTGTATTTCTTAAATATTAATTGTGTGTGCATACCGTCATAAAATTAAGATGTTATTTTTACTACAACATACGTATTGTGTCTGAAAAAGTGTAGTTTGGGGGTCGGCCCAGTCTCTACTTCAATTAATCCCATATGTTCTGTTATATCGTTTACGCGTTACTCGTTTTACGCAGACCTCCACTGGTTCAATTGACTGTGTAAATCCAGACTATACTGTATACTGTTCTACAGTACTGTACAGTAATATTTTAGTTTCTAAATCCTTTTCATTTTACCCAGGGATCATTTTTATTGGTAATAGTGTGATCACAAACTGAGTGAGGCTGGGTCACCCTCAAGAGGACAAATAGAAAGAAACCTAAGATTTTGACTGGAATGGTCGTATCAAACCTTGTCATGAGAAAGTTGGAAGGTATAATTAGAAATGGTGGAGGTAAATGCAGGATATTTTTACACTTATGTTGTTCCAAAGTGCAAGAAAGTTCAATCTGCTTGACATAGAGGATAGACAGACCAATATGAAGAAGTCTTAACAAATGTTTTTAATTCCTGTATTGTACTTTCTTGGGTGTGCTTGAAGTTATTAATGTGGTTAGTTGTTAAGGTGTCAAATAAAATTGTCATATCATCATAAATGTATTAAAACATGTTGAGGTACAGAGAGACCGTACAAATGCATAGGCAGATAGCTTAATGAATATTTACACAAGTTGACTGATGGATGTTTGGATAATTTCTTTTATTTGTTGCTGTTGGTGTAAGTAATATATGGGCTCAGAAAATCTCTTGTTTGCAAAAAATAAATGTTTATTAAGAGACTGACAAGAAATCTAATAATTAAGCCATTAGAACTATAGCAGCAACAGTTCTTAAAAAATAAACATTCTCCTTAGAGTTTATAGTCTTCAGTTACCAAACTATCAAGAGGATCATATACCCTTGAAAAATGGATGGTGACAAACTACATAATAAAGGTGCTGTGTAGGAAGAAGATGGTGGCCACAACAGAATTTACACATTCAACTCAAGGTCCAACAAGGCAAACTGGATCATCACCACAATGCAGTACAATTGTAAAGGCCTGGCCTGTGGGATGTAAATCCCTTGCCAGCCTAATCAGGATCTTATAAAAAGGAAAGTCAAGAACCATGGGTTTCCAAGGGGTAACAAACAACCTGATTGACATCTCTTTACTACAAAAATAATTACAATAATTTAACTCTGACACCACTCACACAAATATTAAATAAACAGCACTGAGTCAAACAATTTCTAAAAGAAAACAATCAATACAACAAAGGCGTATTTCCACACGCTAGAAGAATACCTAACCAGTACCGTGGAATGTTATGGTAACGCAGAGATCCACCTCAGGGGAAGGTCCGGAAAGCTTCCTCACTTGACGCTGGCGATGGCGCGTCTGCCACGGAGGCACGCAGGGCACTGACGGTGGATAGGGCGATGCAGCACCGCAGCCGCAGAGCTGAGAAAAACCGATTTGACAACCGAACAGTAGGGCCATCGTAACTGCCAACAAGCCCCAGCGGAACCTCAGATGAGCACACCACCGCAAGTTGGAATCAACAGCAGAAGTAGCAACTGTGGTCAAGGCTGGATCGTCTGCCCAGTGACGCGCGGAAGCAATCTCTCACCATAGTACGAAACGGAAGGCACCAAACCATCCCGCTTGTTACAGCCCTTACAACAATGTTTTAAGTTTTCTTTAAGGAATGACAAGACACCATATAAGAGTCTTCTTAACTTTTATAGAGAAATTGAGTAATAATTATACATTATCCAGTCATCCTGAAGAACGGGAGAAATATCAATCTGAATTGAACCCCAAATTTGCGACTCACTGGACACATAAAACCAGATCATACACATGGTGTCTGCTAGCCAACGGGCTAGCTTCACACCACAGAGGTACTTTAGTTCGTCCTACAACCAACCCTTGCATGTACATTTCACGATTTTTTCTAATTTTTAGTTTGAAAATTCAGACAAAATTATACTTCAATTTACTGAATAGGTATGTATATCAGTCCACAGCCACTTTTGAATGCTTGAGAAAATAATGTAATTTTTTTAAAGAATTGTCTATAATACATAATCCAGGTATATTTTGTTCTACCTACTTCCATGTAAAAGAAAACATCTTCAGAAACTACTTTCAATATACAATTTTTTATGAAGTATTGAATGACTTGACACAGATAAAAATTGATAAGGAAATTATGAGGAACATTTTTTAACTTAAAACACTGGGTAAGTAAGAAAATATACAAGCTTAGTTAGCAGTAAAAACCCCCAGACTCCAAACCCCTGAAATGAAGGTTTGTCTTCCCACCTGCAAACCAGTACATATAAAAAAAGCAACCTGCTTAAAGCATTGAAGTTATTGCCTTTTTACGACTAACCCACCACAGAGATCACTACCCACCGTAAAATTAAAAAATAATAATAATAATAATACATACAAACAAATTATCATAAAAAAACAAAAATAAAAAATAAATAAATGATAATTAACCAACAACACTGTAATAATAATAACAAAACCCAGAAGAAAAGTAACTAAATAGTGAGAAACAAATATATCATGCAATGTTGCACAACATAAGAGAAACAAATTGAGACCCAGCAACAAATGAGGCAGAAATCGATCAAAGCAACCTGGGACTTAGTCACAATTTTTGGATTATGGCAGCACAGGTCAAACATTATAAACACATTGCTTCCAATATCTTCCCTTTGCCAATCTATCTGCCACACACCAACCACTAGTTTTGCCACACCCATGGAACAATAACCCATAGTAACTTCATGTTCAAACCATATACATAATTTGCAGGTGTGGACAACTGCACAATTCATCATATATTTCAACAACTTGCACGAGACTACAAGTTTAATTTTCATGCTCTAATATACCTCTAAGAACCTTAGCCAGCGCTCGAACGAAGGTAGAGGAAAAGAAATTACCATTTTGAAAAGTCTGTTCTCAATTATCATGTTTCAACCCTGTAGACTTAAATGAATTACCAAGTCTGGTATTGGTAGAAAGGCAATGCAGAGACCAACCCACCACTTTTCCCAAACTTTGAACTTCGGAATAAAGCATCCAAATACTGGTACATTTACATCAGCATTTTTCAAATACTGATGAGTTTTCTTTAAGATTGCTATGCTCCAATGAGTGTGGCTTTAGAGCCTAAACCTGGCACTTTATTACTTCAAACCTCGTTTACACCAGCTGACTGTGATCTCAGCCCCAGACCCCAGCCTTCCTTAGAAGTAATCTTGCCAATGAAGCTCTGGGGAATTATTAACATTATGAAAGGATTATACCAATTTTCTGTACTCGAAGCACAGTATTTTAAGTATGGCTTTAAGCCCTTACTTTTGCCACCATTCCATTCCCTACCCATTAATTGTATGATTATTATTATTTGTTCCATTTTACACCCATATGTTTAATCAATTTTTCTGAAATATTTCTTGCCAGCCTTTTTTCCTGCAAATGCCTCATGTACCCAAAACCTAAACTGTTATATCACCACCACTTGCTTTGAATCCATCCTTGTAGCTGTCACTAATTTTTTCTACAGTTTCTTTTCTATTCTGTTTAGCTGTTTTGTCATATTTACCTGCTAAGATTGTCATTTTATAATACTGTCACAATGGTAAACAGTATTCACCATTGGCTCCATAACATCATTCATACATTGCCCAAGCTTGTCACTCTGGCTAACCAGCTACATACTTTCAAATGTAAATGCAAACCAAGAATGCATGTAACCCCAACGACCAAAAATAATCCCTGCCCCCACCTTCTCCTCCTCATCCTGTCAAACCCAAGACCTACCTTACCTCTGAATATCATATGCCTACAAGCCGCATTACTTACTCCTTCATATTTATTTGTTCACATATTTTTTATAACTTCGTCCCGTAATACAATCTTTTTTCCTTTTTCTTTTTTTTTCTTTTTTGCTTGCATCACGGCACCGCAATGTCGGAGTGAGAACCTGGGACTAGCCCGCCAGCTAGACAACCGGTTGCTGAGGCTTGGGTTGGTCACCCGTATTTTGATGTCATTGATAATTCCACAGAGTTTGATACTAAGGTTGGTTTCTGTGGTTTTCTGTTTGGAACTGACTTTTGCTTATGTCTTCATTGCCATATACTTCATGGTTAGCATCTTGCCTCACGCCTCTTTAGTTCTTTACTTCAGTCACATGGACTTTAGCAATTTTGGCTCCATGAAGACACAGCATGATTTTTCAAACAAACAGACTATTAAATATTTTTCATGGATGTAGATCGACGCATGATCAGTGTAGTGTGTCAGAAGTTGCACGTAACATGCGCTTACAGACCACCAACGCCTAAAGCTCAAGTTCCTGGTCAAAGGGCCTCTTCCTGCAGATGCTATCTTCCCCAATTTCCAGGTACAATACTGTAGTAATTGACTGTTGTAGTAATACTGTAAAGTAGAATTTTCTGACATTAATACTAATTATAAGGTGGGAGAGAAGGGCAGCTGTTGTGAAAGAGGGTAGAAAGTTCATGTCATTAAATGGAAAAATAAATAGGTGCTTTGGTTGTGCAAAGCAGGATACCTCTATTCATATCTCTCAGGTGAAATTGAAAAAAGTCTTACAGTGATATTGCCTTTGGTAGAAGGAAACACAAGCTGTGTAAATGAATTTTGGTTATGGGAAGATCCAAACTGCATGAAGCAAGTAGAAAGAAGAGAATTTGAAGTAGGTTGCAGAGATGAATCATTAGGATCTGGATGTGCAGTATTGAGAAGTAATACTGTAGACTAGATTACTGTACTGTTATTTAAAAGACTCTCTCTCTCATATATATATATATATATATATATATATATATATATATATATATATATATATATATATATATATATATATATATAATATATATATATATATATATATATATATATATATATATATATATATATATATATATATATATATATATATATATATATATATATTTTCATTTGCTGGAGAAGTAGTATCTGGGATATTACAAATCTTCAGCTTTTTACTTTAATGATAAACCAAACGTTCTAGTTATATAATATAAAAGTAAATACATCAAACCCTTGCTAATTGATATCGCCCTGGCTCTAAGCTGATCGAAGTATCAAATTATCCAAACAGTATATCAAAACTACCACTTTTTCTCCCAACTTATGAAGGTGAGGTTGAAGAACTGGCAGGATTGCCCACTGAATTCAGAAATGGTAGTGAGTGTGTGAGCTTCAGCAATAAAGACAATGATGAACTACAGTAGTCATAAGCATAGAAATACTTACAGTAGAGATCAGGAGCAAAGTGACAAGGGAGAGGTAGAATTGTTTCTCCATGTGTTGCACATGTATCTGGTAGGAATGTATCTACAAAACTAAAGGAGGTGTTCCTGGATCAAAGTAGTGAATGATTTGACCACAAAGTTATTGTGGAAAAATGTTAAGTGCAACACCACCATGAAAGAAATAAGAGTTTATTTCGCCTATAAACATATTATTGATAATTTCTGAAAGAAACCTGACCAGGAGGACACCTGTGTTTGGGAAATACAGTACATGGACAGGTACCGACATCATTGTCATGACTCAAATCCTCATTTCTTGTAAGTCCAGCCCTATACAGTCTCTGTCTTCATTATTATAAAATAAAAATAAAAATACTGTATATCGTACTTCGTATATACAGTATACAGTAAATATTTTCATCTTGATACTTTGTTTTATTTTACGTCATGATGGTTTCTGTCTTTAAAAATTAGCCTCCAGTGTCATAGAAGGGAAAGAGGAGGAGGAAAAACGAGGCACCATACGAGAATATAATTATGAATCAAATAATAAAAACTGGTCCAAAGCTGGCATGTGTGGCAGTACTCCGATTCCTCTACCCTACTTGCCAACTGGTCACATATGCTGTATGTTCCCTCCCATCATTTGTGGCTCACATTAGGTGTACAGTAAATCTTGTTAATGTATACCACTGTATTCAGTGAAGAAATCTTGTCTTCATAAGAAAATTATGCAATTTGTCCCAGTTCATAAAACTGCCACCTTGCCATTATACAGTAGTATATACAGAGTATAATTGAAAACCTTGCCATTGTTTAAGGGTTAAATGACTCAAAAGTACAGTATATGAGATTGGAAGTTAATTTGTTCATAGAAATGTTAGTCTCATTATATGAAGGAAATCACGTATATTTCAAGATTTTCGCATCAAATCAATCTTTTTTTTTTCTTTTTCAAAATCACAAAATCTTCTCACTAAATCTACCTTGACAAAAAAGCAAAACATATTATCTCACTGTCTTGAATTAGCAAAGGCTCAGTGTACTGTAGTGAGAGGTAGTTAAAATAGCTCTGGGATTGTAGTGCGAGGACAAATGGCTGAAGTTTTAAAAAGTATAAGATTACTCCTATAGATGGGTAGACTTGGTAAACACTACTAGAACTTACCTGAGTATTTAGAATGCATTTATATAGTGTGGTAGATCATTTGTTACTGTAAATATCTGTATGGTGTCTTTGAACTTCTTGCAGGACTTCAATGTCGAGCACATTTATCTCCGCATTTAACTCAAATGCAAGATGCAGGCTCGGCTCAGAAAGCGTGGCAAGAATGGTAAGAACCTTTGTGTACTTATTATAATGTGTAACCTCTTGTGTTGTATTGGTGTTAGTTCCCTTGGCCAGGTCTCTACCATAAAAGTTGTGGAGTTTGCTCTTCCTTCTTCTTATTTCCATAATTTGGCAAAGACAACTGTGTATGTAATATATTGAACTTTACTTGATCCTGAAATTTGTTTGATTTACTTTTTCTTCATACCATCATAATTTAGAGGCCATGATAAAATTAAAAAAAAAATAATAAATGCAGTAAGATACTTTTTATTAGTTAAAAAATTATACTTCCTTCAAAATTGTTATCTTTAACTGTGTTTTCTTGCTTTTTTTGTGTCACTTGCCTACCTTCTCCACAGTGCCTGAAATGATAAAACAGTTTACTTTAAGATAGCTTTTACATAATGAATGACAGTAACTCCCTCCTGCTAACTTGTGTACTGGTTGATATACTGTACTAAGTACTGTACCTCTGTCAGGAAGGTAACTTACCTTTATATACTGGATAGCAGCTTAGTCATTGATAGATAGCAGGTCACCTTGTCTATAAGCTAGGTATATAAGAAAGTACTGTTCTGTAGACCTCCATGGACCAACCCTTCTGACTTGTACAGAGAGACAATTCTTAAGAGAAGGTAAAATTATCTGTAATGAACGTTATAAAATCTGCTAGCAATTTTACCTGGCAATATTTGGTAAAGGAAGGCTGTATGTGAAGGTGATTGTGATTGGTGGACCTGCTTTTGTTGTATCACTGTCAGGATAGTTATTAAACACACCAAAGAATTTTATAACAATAAACTATTCATTGTTATTTAAGGTCATGTAAGTTTCCAAATTTTTGTACGTATACAGGTATTTGCTTAAATAATGAAGAAAATTATATTAATGACTTGGCAACTCAACTACAGCCACAGCTGCCACAAGATTCTCACATCAAATTTTCTTCATTATTTAAGCAAATATATGATCATTTGGAAACTTCTCATGATCTAAAATAATGATGAATAGTTTATTATTATAAAAATGTTACCTTTGGTTTGTTTAATATTTATCCTGACGGTGCCCCTAATTGAATCAACTTTTAACATGAATATGTCTGTGAATGCAAAGTAGCTTTTACTTCAAAGACATTTAAAGAAAAATTTGTTGTCATTAATGTGAAACTGATCCTGCAGGTCACCACAGCTATACACATACCCTCCGCAAGCCTGAGCAGTTGGGACAGATTGTGGAGGTAAAGACACCCATCAGCCAACGTGACTGGACCAACATGTCAGCTCAGGCTGACGAACACCACTTGAAAATATACAAGAAACGACGGTGCTTCCTCCACAACAACCAGTACTTTCAGTTGGACTTATATCAGCAGCCATGTCACCAAAGGTGAGGTTAAAAACTTAAAGGGTTGAAATACTACCTTTCTGCTTGCTGGAGCCATTATACAGTAACAATGAGCTGTAGGACAAATTGTCTTCACCTGCTCATTGTATAACTCTATTTTCCTACTCCATATCTTGCAAAAATGTTTTAAGTGATTTTTAAGCAACAAGTTAAAGTTGTTCTAGGTAATCAAAGATAAGTGAAATATCTGAATTACCGTACAGTAGTACTGTACATCAAATTTCCAAACCCCTACATGTCCAGAATGTTGTAAAGTCTAAACTGGTGATTCTTTGTTACAGTAATTATTTTTGGTATATAACTGATTGTGAACAAATGTTAAGTAGGTTCAGTGGTGTTGCCATGGTGAGGCATGAATAAGTGTGTTGTGTTTTGGAATTTGTAAATACAGTAAACTTAAATTAATCCAGACTAATTGGGGGGGAGGCTCGTCTGATTTAGCTGAAATTCCAAATTTGGCTGGGGTCTGTATTGTTTATACAGGTACTTCGACACGATCACAAGAGTTAAAAATTTACCAAATTTTTCAAATTACGATTTTCGAAGTCCCAACGTTAGTGGACGCTCGTACTGAAAAATTTTGTTTGTAATTCCCTTTAAAATGAAGCTAAAAGTGAGAGTTTTGTGGTGCTGAGAAGAAAAGAAACACCATTTTAGATTTTTGATGTATTATTTTCAAGATTTCGACTTATTTAATTCAACTTCCACTTACCTAATTCCTCGAGGTCCCTAACCTCAAGTCGGACTGCCTGTATTGCAAGGTGGAAAATTCCAGGGAGTGGGGGATTTCTGACTCAAGTTTTTAAGAACACCGAACCTACTGTAATTTTTAGCCTAGACTTAACACCTTCTTGGTTTTTATATCACTGAGCATTTTTATTATTACAAGTATTTTATTTTATTTACTGTATTTATTTATTTTATTTTTTTGAGGAGGGAATTTTAAAAGTACTGTACCAGGATTCACCTAGTAGGTAATGTATAAACTAGATAATGAAATCTATATCTTGAAGTGATTAGCTGGGTTACAGTTAATGAATTTTAGCTGTTTGTACCTGGGTATAGGTGAAGTAAAGGTACACTGGTTACAATTTTTTTATCAGATGTTTAGGCCCTTGCTGTACTACAGAATGACTGGAATGAAGACCAAACACAAACTTTTTTGTGATTATATGTTCGTGCATGAAGAAAATAAAATGTAGGCTATGTTATGGAAATATCATTTTCCCTCAACCATTTTTTATTTAACAAAGTCAATACTCATTACCGATGTTATTGCTTCCTTACAGGTGTGAAGGTCTCATCCTCCTGGAGACATATTCCACACTTCATACTGAGGAGTTGCAGCTCGTCTGCCCTCATTCCTAACGATAGAATCTGAAGTAACTGGAAGACCTGATTACTCCATGTTTAACCTGAGCTTACGTGACGAGGTGGGTGTTACCAACAAATTCTGTGTCAACATCGCAGGTTAGACCGGGAGGACTAGCACTGTTTCCCTGACCAGTGTTGTGCAATAGATCCACCTATCAGCCATCTTGCAGGCTTGTTGTCCATGCTTGTGGGTTCATGTAGCCTTGGAAGGTTGTTCAGATACCCTAGAGTTATACTCAAAAATATGAATGACTAAGACTGTTCTGTTGAGGCTAGGAAAACTAACCAATAACTTTTGTTGATTGAACTTAAATTTTTGGAATTAAAGTGAAAGATATGAAGGAATGCCATTTTGAAAATCATTTATTTTACAAATTGTCAGAATGATTGAAGTAAGCAAGTCTTTGAAGTTAAAAGTTTTTGAATTGAGTTGTCATTAAATATTTATATTGTATTAACTAACACTAGTCATATTTTTATTTTATTTGTCATCATAGGAGAAGCTTAGCAAGTGGATAAATATTAAAATGTTCCTGATAATTATCACAATGACATTACTTTTATAATGTTAACTAATTCCACTTTGGCTTGAATGTACTGTAATATGGAACGTTTAAGTTTTCAAGAAAGCTGTGGGAAAAACTTTTGAAAATATTTTGAAGTTTGGTGTTGATATTGTGGAGAGTAAGTATGTATGTAAGACTAAACTTGTACATCTAACATTGTTGTTGGTTTATCAGTAACTCGGGTGATGGTCATGTCTTGGCAGTTGTGCCTTTACTATCTTGAGATTTTCTCAAATAATGCAATAATGTTTATATACTCATAATACTGTTCCTAACTCAAAATTTATTTTTCCTCAAGTTTATTGATTATGTAGAGATACAACTGCCAAAACACTACTGGGATTTTTCATGTACTACTAGTGCTTGATCTTTTGAGTACTGTCAAGTGCAGAGTGGTGGTGCCTCCTACCCTAGCACGGTGCTGGACATATTAACTTCGCTTTTAAGAGTGGCGGCTGCACTCCCTCCTAACATGGTGCTTCACCTCGTTGATCTCATTACTGCACTCATCACTTGAGACTTGTTGTTGATCTTGTAAGTAGCATCTTGTAAATACTTTGGTATTGCTTGCTAATACTAAGCGGGGTAGTGTAGTGTCGGCACCACGGACTCGTGCTTGGTGTTTGATTTGATTGGTAATTAGTGGTGGAGAATGCCAGTGGCAGCCAGGCCTGAAGTTCAGTTCATTAACTGACAAAACTTTCCTGAGATTAGTGAAGACACCAGTGATATGTGATGTGCATGGTATAATTGGAGATTCCTCCATAGAAGTTTGAAAATTTATTTTAAGTAAGTTGTCCTGCTAAACATTACCATGGGATAAAATACCATTGAACATTGTCAGTTTTTTCTCTCAACATCTCATCACAATGTCATAGGCTTTATATTCCACTATATTTGTACTCCAAAATAGGTACCAGTCGTTATATTATTGTAAATATTCAATGAGTGTACAACATGTGTCATTAAACTTTTAGTTATGATATTTATGATCATCATTTACACACAACTGAGAGCACAACTTGTTGAAGATGAATATGACGTGATATATAGTTTACCATTCAAAATGTCTGCTAGTCATGAATGAAGACTAACTTTTGTGTCATATTATTATTATTATTATTATAGGGTAAATGCTAGAAAACTGCTGGCTTGTAGGATTGAAATCTGAGTGCTATTAAAATTAATAGGGTTTTGTTGTAGTTATTGAACGGTTAAGCACTGACAAAGATGATATTTAAGTCACTGATCTACTGTAGTTACTTCTTGGTAAGTATAGGCAACTGTTGTTAATGGTACAGTCACTTTTGTGTCCTAAAGGTTGAGACTGTAGTTCTAGAATTTTTTTATTAAGATGTGTATTCTAATTGAGAATTTTATCACTTTGTTAAACAAGATGTCTATTCATCATATTCAAGCATATGTAGTCATATATCATTATGTTAAATCAGAGTTCATGTTATCATTAAAAACAATTTGTATCATCACATAAACCATTGGTCTTCATATTTATTCTCGGGTTAAATCAAATTAAAAGATGATGATATTAAACCGGTATAGAGCTGACAAGAAGAGCAGGAGTCGGTCACAGGAGTGCAAAACTCCATCAGGATAACTATACAGTACAGTTGTGCCATACCTGATGTGGGTTCAATCCTGTTAGTTGTTACAGGCAGCATATTATTGGTTTTGCTGTAAATTGTGGTCATCACTCTTGCAGGACAAGATTGCAAGAATATCTAGCACCACTCTGGTCAAAATCAGGGATATTAGGTTGAAAATTGGCACTCATTCCAAGAAAATATGTCCATGCCGCCACCACCAGGTGAGGGAGTGTCACCTGCGTCTTCTCCCTTCTCCGTATCACTATCCTCTCTTGCATCATCACCCAGATCCGACTCACTTCATCCGTTCTCTTCGCCTTAATTTTCACTGTCACTAAAGAGTTTACCACTTGGATCAATTGAGGTGCTCGGTGGAGCAACAATGTATGTGCAAAAATCATGTTTCAAGATAATCAAGGTTAATGTACAGGTACATTGTTTTTATCGTTTCTCCATAACCAATCATACGATTTTAATGATCCGTATGTCAAAAGATAAGAGAAATTAATGTATTTTTTGAGTGTAACAAATTCTTCAGTTATTAAAGTCTGAATACAGTAGTCATTAGGTCAAGTTTATTTCAGAGGGTCACTTCAGAACTTTTGGTAAATGAGTAATAAACATCAATATTCATTTATACAAATGTCAATGTAATAATCACCAGCCATGAACTTTGTCACGTCCACTGACTTCACATGAATATTAATACAGTAAGTCCTCACTTAACAATGGATTAGCTCCTCTGAAAATGCTACTTATAATAAACAACGGTTTTCAATTCTCCATTGAAATTGGTAAAATACGGGAGTTACTTTCTTGAGCCTCCCTTTGCCCCATGAAATACATTACATATACAGAAATTCAGTGGCATTTTTATAGAAAATAGTGTATTGTTTATATATAATACTAAATCGGTTTGTATTAGTACTCGCCGATGGGCGGAGGTGGTGGAGCGAGTGTATGGTGGGTAGTGAAGAGGAGGAGGGCAGGAGCGGAGGAGGGTGGTGAGTCACTGAGACTCGGTGGCTGCCTCTTCCTCCTCGAGAGAGTTAGAGCGGCAAGACGAGAGAGGGTGATGCGCCATAAATAGTAGTCAGTGATGACCCAAAAACGACATTAAATTGAGTTGTCGGAACGTTATCCGAATTATTGGTATCTAAAGAGTAGCGGCGTTGTACAGGTTCCCTCTGCTTAAAAACGTTCAACTTACAAACATCATCACTGATGGGGGTTACCTGCCAGAACAGGTGAACTGGCCCTTTAACCATTGATTCTTGCTAGGTTGATGGGGCTGGAACGTGTAAAAGTATACAGTATAGGGTTTTAGTAGCAAAACTCAACTGACCTTTCCGTATTTATTAATAAAATATATTATATACAGTTCCAAGTGTATATCACCGTAACTTAATCACTGTAGCTATGAGTGTTATAATGAGGAATGAGGCGATATTAAATAGCTCTTCTAAATAAGCCCTGCTTGTGTGAGAGAGTGAGTAAGAATGCTCAAGTAGCCGGCTTCTATATGCTGACCTAACACTCTTTAGGGCCGCGCCTCAAGGAACTTACCCATCACGTGATGTGACCATGTCACCTCATAGCCAGTGTAAAGTTACAGGGGGTGATATGATTATATAAACCCAATGTACTGCCATGACATTTATATAATTTATATAAGAACTAAGGGGCTAATACATAGATGTTTAATGTGGATGAAACTGGATTATTTTGAAGAAAATTCCAGATAGAACAAGCATTACCTGAGAAGAGTGAGCCACGCTTTAAGGCTGTATTAAAGGGTATAGCTGTACTAAATATCCATAATCTTTTCATTTTTTACAATATGTTTGGTATCTACAAGAGTAAAGTTGGACTTAAAAAACAATTGGACTTGCAAACAAGCCTCAGGAACGTAACTCGTTCATAAGTAGAGGAGCACCTGTACCGAAACAACTTTAATCGGGGCGACGTTATACGAGAACTTACTGTATGAGCATTTGTTTACTGTAGTCACCTATTTTCCAAAACTGGTTAAAAAATTTATTTTTCCTTTTCCTGGCCTAAATGTGCGAGGCAGCGACATTTACAAGCAGATTCGATGTTCTGTTCATCCACTTAATTGGGCTTTACATTTGACATAGGATTAACCCCCCCTCCCTGATTCCTCTTCTTCTTTGCCACTTTCTTTTTCCACTGTGAGGGGCCATGTACATGTTTCCTTGCATGCCCACCCTTCCTCCACATTCTCACTTCACTTGAGATCAGAATATACACTTACGAGCACTAAATACACAGAAAAACATGTAAAATTCCTCACGTGGTGTCGGATAATAGGAGATGTCTGAAAAAAATCTATGGTTCCTCCTCCCAAGGCCACACACACCCCTGCATTCTGGGCTCTCTTTGGCTGAGCAAGTGACCCCACAGCTTTGCACACCTGTGATTGGTCATGCTCTTTGGTGCATACGTCGGTATTTTGCCAAGACCGCAACCTATATGCTTGCGCCTCATGAAACCGCAAAAGGCCAAGTCCTATGTTTTTAAATCGGTTTTGTCCTTATATCAAAGATGTATTTCCCTTCCCAGCTGAGCTAACATTACAGAGAATTGCCTGGGAAACATATCAGAACAAGAATCTCTTTTTCTATGGTTCATTGATAAGTCAGTTTTCCACCAAGATCCTCAATTTGTTCCTGCTGCCGTTGTTCCTAAGTCAGACCTCCAGCACCCTTTTTTCTCGGGTTAGGTGCGGGCTGGGGCAACCATGATCGGTGTGACCTCTCCATCTTATGACGCAATGGGCACTGAGCCATTAAAGATGGTATTACGTGGAGTCCACATGCCTCCGTGCAGGAGGGGAAAGTTTATTCGATATTTCTGAGTTAGCTTGGCATGTGTTTTATTCAAATAGGCCCCAAAGATCCAGAAGTCATATGATGTGACCTGAAGCCCAGGGGTTAAAGTAGTTCTCATAACTTGGAATGTGAAGTCAGAGCACATTAAACCAATTTAGATCACCTTGAATGTGAAGTCTGATCAATAAATTTGAATCTAAAATCAGACTGTGTTGAACCCGACTGCTATAAGTGCGAGGACATTTACCGTAAGAAGTGCATGTTATATAATTTCTGTCCCTTCAGCAGTTCCTTGAGTGAATAACTTAAGTGTAAGAATTTATTCCACACATTGAATGGTACATACCAGAGATGAGCCTTCGTGTGGTATAATTTAAGAGGCAAATGAACATAGTGAGTATAACTTATAAGTTTTAAGCATTTATATAACACTTGTTCTTGTCTCTTTTTATTGGTACAGTACTGTATTAAAAAAAAAATGTGTTATATATTATGATATTTATTGTACCTCCCATGAATATATGTGTAGTACAGTATATTATTTTCTTGGGAGCTTAATAATTATGATTTATTTTATCTTTTCTTATATTTGGTAAATAGTAATGATTTTTTTATAAGATTGCACTATACATACTCAGTCTGTGGTCAAAAGTACCGTACCTATCACTGTTGTCATGGCTATGGAAAATATTCATATGAATGCTATATTGTATACATTAGACTGTTGCTTATCCACATATTGAAAAAGAGCAAATATTAGTTATCCACACAAACTTTACCTTCAACCTCTGTGGATAATGAAGAGCCTGTTGTATTGCATTTCACATACCCGATATGCCTTGTATCATACATTCAACCATATTGACTATTGATCCAACATCATTTATTCTTAATTAGAAAGTACAAACATATCATAAAGAGCACTGGACACTGTCAGGTTTTAACTTGTCCCCACAATAGAATATTCCAATTGTAAGTGTCTTTATTGGATTAAGATTTTTTCTGTTTTATGATTATATGTTAAGAGTGTCATTGAAACACCGAATTCCTCCTTTATCTGCCAATTGGTAGAAGTCTTAACAGCTCTTTCAATAAACAATGTTAGTGGTTATAAATGGTTGTGTGGTTTATAGGGATATTATAGCATTCAAAATGATAGCAAATAATGACAATGTCTTTGCTCTTGCCGTCCACTTTTGGAGTATTTTGGCCTGTACAGTGCACAGTAATTGCAGTGAATAATGGATACCAGTTTGTCCCATTTTGCAATTATGAAAGTTATGAAAATTGTCATTGTAAGTAGTTTAAATATTCATGCAGTAACCACCAGGTTTAGTCTTATTCCTGTGTTGTAAATTAGTGTAAATCAATATATTTTTAAAGGGGATTCAATTTTACATATTTGATAAAAGTAATTTGCTGTGAACACTAGTTTTGTGCCTGTGTTTTGAATATTGTTTAACATTCCTCATTATGTTAGATGAAATTTGGGATTGCAGTAATTTAGAGCTTTTTGAGATGGGAAGGAA